AAACCTCCAACCCAAAAAACCGACAAAAATTCCCGGTGGATTCGGTGCCTCACCGGTTTCAAACAGCTGATCATTCCGGTCAAAGTCGGTACATTTTGGAACAGTTTGGTAAGTAAACTATTAAACCGGTATCGCACCGGTTCAGAAACCGGTGAATTTTGGAAAGTGCCCTAATAATGACATTTGATAACAAAATATTTTCCAAATTTCAGGGTTATGAAACAGAAAGCCGAGTTGCCAGAATGTGTAAAATATCTGAGTAAATTCAAATAGTAAAGTTATTCAATTTATTAGTTAAACGTAACCATAACAGTTAGCTCAATAGCATAAATATGTTTTTCTACAAACGTCACTAAAAGTGTAATTTTTAACGGATGCTGTCAGTGTCTAAAATGCCACTTTATGACACTGGTGTTAAAAGTGATTACTTTTCACAGAATAAAATGTCACTTTTACACTTATATCATAAATAACTATTTTGCAGTAACTTTTTTCTCGGGTTTGGTCCAACGGCATTTCTTCTATTTTTATTTTTTTTATTTCTTCTTCTTCTGGACATGCCTATCCCTTATGAATGTCGGCGATTATCGATTATTATGGCGATGTCCACTTAATTCGCAGCAATATGGAAGAGTTGTGGCGAGCTTTTATTAAACAATGTTCTGAGATTTTTACAATGTTCTGAGATTTTTCCGTCACCATATTCTTCTTCTTCCTGGTCCTCTCTTTCCAAATATCTTTCCTTGCAGGATGAAAGGAGGAATATTTTTAAAAGGTAAGTTTCCCATGTATTTTGTCCAGTCTTCTGAAATAAGTCTGTCAAAATGTCTACAAAAATTCGTCCACATGTCTGAGGTACATTTTGAAAGAGACTCACGCCATACCCTCGCAACCCTATTCGTGGATGGTAGCTGCTAAGTTATAGTTTTATTATAGAAGTTCTTGCAAAACCCCCATGCCATTTCAATAGGATTATATTGGCAATGATAAGGAGGTAATCTAAGAACTTCGTGTCCGTGGATTTTCAAAATTTCGTCAATTTTGTAATTGTTTTGGTCTATTCCAAAATGGTTTAGTTAGGTCCCATAGTTGTTTTTTGGTCATTTTTGTGTCGAAGTCTACGTTATGTTTAACCAACCATTTCTGCATTTTGTCTTTCTTTGAAGAGAATGAAGGTGGATTATCCTTCTGCTCTGAATGATATGGAGCGTTGTCCATGATTATTGCAAAATTTTCTTCAAATATATTCAATGCAGGAATTAGTTGATCAACGCCCCATTTTTGTAAGATGTCCGCGTTCATGGTATTATGGTAGTCTCTGTCATTGTTTCTTGAATCTAGAAAAAAATTGCACCCATTTAAAAACCCAGAACTACTCCCCGCATGCAAAATAGTAAAACGTTTCCCCTCTGACTTAATTTTGGATGGGTTGCTTTTCATATCAGATTCGTGTATGCATCGACGAACTTGAGATCCGTTTTGGTAGATCCAAGTTTCATCTAAATACACGAATCTGATATTTTCGTTTGAATGTTTATATTGGAGGTATTTCCGCAAAAATGTAATTTTGGCAGCAAGAACATGTTTCTACTCACCTAAAATTTTGCGTCCATCTACTGCTTTAAATTTTTATCCCATAGATTTTAAAATTTTATATAAACTTGTTTGCCCTCCCTTAAATTCCAAATTTTCTTTTGCGTATGTCAGTAATGTTTGTAATGTAAAATATTCATTTTTAAAATAATTGTATTTCCAAATTTGTCGTTGTAAATCTTCTTTAAACATTCGGTCCATAATAGTCTCTGTCTTTTTCGGTCGGCCTAAAGGTTTTTTGATTGTATATTGTCCAGTCAAAATTCTTTGAATAGTCCTGGTTCCCACCTAAAATTTGAGGAAAATGTTGGTTGGGTAAGAAATGGCTACACATCTACATTTAAGCGAGGGGTTAATCACTCCCCGAAATCGTGTCACAAATTTGTCCGAAATCCCCGAAATCCTTCCGAAATCCCCGAAATCCTTCCGAAATCCACGAAATCACTTCGAAATCCCTCGGAATTCTGCCGAAATCCCTCCGAAATCTCTTAGAAATCTTTCCGCAGACCCAAAAAGCCCTCGTAATAGACCCAAAATTCATGAATCGGTCAACGCGACCGTGTTTTATAAGTTAGGTAACAGTCTAAAATCAAATTAAAATATTTGCAACTGAAGAAATTCAGCCTTTTGCGATGTTGCCAGTGGCCTTTTCTACATAACAATTTGATTTTGGCAACGCTTTGCCTAGTCTGACACACTAGTTGTATTCCTTTCAAGAGTTTGAAACACTCGAGCTACTCGCTCCGGTGCTCAGTCGCCCCCGATTTGCAGGGAACAGATGCGTGGTGCAACAAACACTTTTCGAAAGGAATAAGCGCGTGAAGCCCCGGAGCTGTTGCGGAGCTCCTCCTAGGTGTGAGAGGAATACAACTAATAATTGTATTCTTTTCACATCTAGGAGGAGCTCCGGAAAAGCTCCAGCGTTACGCGCTTATTTCTTTCGAAAAGTGTTTGTTGCACCACGCATCTGTTCCTTTCAAATCGGGGGCGACTAGCACCGGAGCGAGTAGCTCGAGTGTTCTAAACTCTTGAAAGGAATACAACTAATACGTTAACCTGACAAACATGCAAGGACTTGGTCAGTGGTCACGGTCACGACTGGTGTTGGTTCATTGGGTGTTGGCAACTCTGCCTGTTCGGTTTTCGGTAAAATCCCGAAAATGATTTCTAACCTCTAACAGGTATTGAGGAGAGAATCAATCAAGGAAAATGTAATAACGTGAAAAGAAAACATTATATAAGTGATTAAATAGTGGTGTGAAGTTCGAAATTGGCTCCTCGTTTTGTTGTGACTGTTTTGCATAGAAGTGGTAAGTAAAAATTAGTATTTTGGATATTAAAAACACAAGTTCCGTTCTATGTTTAATTAGTGAGGATTGAATGGGCTCTTTCACTAAAATTTAAATACGTAATTTAAGTATAAAATCTCAAAGGAGGGACTATTTTAGGCATATATACCAAAAAAAAAATGTTCTACAAGGTTCAATAAGTTTTTCATAGGCAATCAAAAGTGCATAAATTCAAACTATTTTAAAACGCGCCGATTTGCCGACGTCACATAAATATTCTTCATTTCGCTTATGTCGTTGCAAGGAGGAAGGGCTCGGCTGTGTTTGCGCTCTGTAAAGATACGTAAAGGTTCGAATGCGCTGTTGTCGGTTGTGACTAAATGTAGTGCAGCGTAAAATAAATAAATAAAACTAAACATAAAAAATTGCATTAAATTGTATTTAAGCATAATTTAAAAAAAAAATGTTATAAAATCTTGAATCTATAACTAATTAATTTAACTACTTTTCATGAGATTTTGCCAACATTTCAGAATTAAATCTATTACAAATTTTCAATGTTGACAATTAGTGGCAACACGGTCAAATTGCGAGCTGCGACGTCATAGAAATAAATTCTGGGTTTTTATTTGGAGGTATTTCTTTGTTTTCTGTTTTCTCAAGAAGGACTTTGAATTTTTCAAAAGTAAAAATACAGAAAATTCTGTTTTTAGTTGCTTTATCCAAATATGCCAATTTCAAAAATTAGTGAAAGAGCCCATTGCCTAGGGTTGACAAACTATCGAAAAAAAAACTATCGATAGTGATATCGATAAAATGGCTTACCTATCGATAGTAACTATCGATAGTTTGCTCTGACCAAAGTAACCAAATTTGTGAATAATTACGAAATAAATTTATCAAATGACAACAATAACATCATAACCTTAAATAATCATTAGGCAATTCAAACCACGAGACATTCAAGATGGCGTTGCGGCCTCACATGGACCAAAAATCACAAAAAAATATCTAGTTTCCGCCCGACTTAATAGTTTACGTACCTAGTGAACAAATATTTTATTGAATAATCAAAATCAAAGCTGCAAGTAAAACCCGAAGCAAAATAATTAAAATATGCATGAAAATACTAAAATACATATTCAAAAGAAACTTGCTGACCGCCACGCCATATTGAATTATTCGTTTTGACAGATGGATAGAATTCAAAAGGTCTGTTTCTGCAGAAATCACAGACGAGTCAGAACGAATTTCATTGGTTGAAAACAGAAACAGTCAGAAAACTAGTTTCAACCAATGAAATTCACTCTGACTGGTTTGTGATTTCTGCAGAAACAGACCTAATGTCACTCCTAACCTAAAAATTAAAAATTGGCCGCACAGCATGTCTGCCCCATCAAAAAATAATTACAGATTTCTCAAAACAGCTACAGGTTTCTTTATATTTTCCTCAATCTACAGATATCTTCATTTACATTTGGCTACTTTTGGAACTATCGATATTGGTACAGGGCTAGTTATCCCTACCATTGCCTATAAATATTTTTAATGAGATTTAGGCCCGGTTTATTCATCTTCAGATAAACTTGCTCGAAACTACATATTTGCAAGATAAATTTACCGTTCTATAATTCTATTGGTCGGCGGGTAACTGGCCGACCAATGGGATTACAGATTGTGTTTTTATCCGTCAGATTGCATACATGATAGTTTATCGGAAGGCGAATAAACCTAATGCCTCGATTTTGACAATAAATAAACATTTTAAAATATTTTGGCTTCAGGCAATGACATATTTTAGGCTTGGGGTCGTATTTTCGAATTCATTCGAGTACATGTCGTACACGAAATTTGACTGACAGCAATGTAAATTAAATGGGGAGCATTCGAAATCGTATCAAATTTCGTATGCGAGAATATTTGAAAATACAACCCCTGATTTTATTCTAGAACGTCAAAAAATGCCAAAATAATGTATTTTTTTTTTAAATTAAATACCTAATTGTATAAGAACCAGGGGCTTTTGAAGATTTTGGTTGTACTACTTTTTTTTGATCGCAATAGTACTTGTGTTGGAAAGGAAAAGAAAATAGTAATATAATAACTAATTTTTTTTAGAATCATGCAGCGAATAGAAGATAATAGAAAAAAAATTCTTAACATTCTGAAAGAACAAGAAATGGAAACAATTTTTCCAACTTATCTCAGTGACCTGTTAGCCTATAATGGCTATATAAATTATGAAACCATAAGTTTATTGGAAGAAAGTGAAATTAAAAAGCTTGAAGGCTTTGCCCGGGAAATTTTACCAAAATTATTGAGGAGCGAAGAAGAAAAAGATTTGTTATATGGTATATTTGCCAAAGAAACAACTCTATTTTATATAGTGGATGGTGACAAAAAAATGTTAGAATTATTGCGCGAAAAATGTAAATTACACATGAAAGGAAAAACTAGTTTAAAAAACAAATCATCTGACAGCTTTACCGAAAAGCCGAGCGAGAAGCTGAGAAAAGAAAAAAACATACATAGAGATGAAAGCTCGGATGAAAGGCTCAGAGAAAATGATCATTGTTCTGACAAGAAGCATAGGAATTCAGTAGATCTCATCAAAAGTATAGTTAGGTCATATCAGTATAAATTTATTATGAATTTGGACGAAAAAGATAGAGGAAATGCATTATCTCTTATAGACAGCACAGCGATAGAAATTAGAGATCAGATTGCTTATGTAAAATGTTGCCTGTGTGATTTCAAATCCAAAGCGTACAACGAGAGTGACAATAATAAGAGAATATGGGTCCTATCCAATGTAAACCGGCATTTCAAAACTCATTTTAGAGGTAATAAATCTTTTGCCAAAAAAGGTCAGACATCTTCGTTTGGTCAAAAAAAAATTAACTTTTTTTTCCAAAAAACGTTGCCATTAGAGCCCGAATTAGAGCCATTGGATGAGGCTTTAGCCTCAACATCAGCAGAACCCGAGGCAGAACCTCATATTCCAGTTTATGACAATGAAAGTCAGGATGATGACGATATTGCTATACTGGACTCGGCAACTTCGTCGCCAACAGCAACCAGTCATGCCTCCAATAAATCAAATCCAGATAAGGAGGAGGAAGCCCTGGAGGTAGCCCCTGAGAACCTGAGCAGATTCACAACTGAGGAGAAAGGCACTGAGGACCTGCCAATTGAAATATCCAAGAACGAACACCGCTCAAGAATACAAAAAACTATTAAAAAATTAGAGTTGACCTTTGATCCAGGTCAAACAAAAATAACGAGATATTTTGAAATTTGTGAAAAAATAAGATTGCAGATCAACGAAAATCCAGCCATCAATAATGAAATTTTAACATCGGTAAGAATTTTTACAGACAATGTAGGCAGTAATCGAAATAATAATCAAGACCACAATACTACGACTCCGCAGTCCTTTTTTGAAATGATAAAGGCATCAGTAGCAAAAAATATTAAAGGGAAAACCTCTAGGGCAAATCGATATTCAGAAGAACTGAAAAAGTTGTGTTTGTATTTGTTTCTAATTTCTGGACGGCTTGCCTATGAAACACTGGTTTCCAATATTCCAAATGGACCTCCATCCATTTCAACCCTTAGCAGAGAGTTATCTGACATACCTAGATTAGGAGAAGGAAAGATAGCTATTAGAGAATTGAAATTGTTTATGGAGCGTCGAAATTATCCCCTACATATCTTCATTTCAGAGGATCAAACGGCAATAGTGAGACGGCCACGATATGATCCATTAACAAACCAAATAGTTGGATATGTCGTTAATACATCTAAAGGTTCCGGGTTTCCAATTCAAAATCAGAATGAAATTAACACAGTCAATGACATAAAAAGTCTAACGGAGAATGGCATTCTTGCTAGAAACGCTTACGTTTTCATGGCACAACCCCTAGTTGATGGGGCACCTGCATTTTGTTTATGACTTTTTGGAAGCAATAACTCATTTACTGCTGAAGAAGTATTGACTAAATGGAAATTTCTTGTTAAGGAGGCATGTCGGCAAAGTATTGTTGTTGAAGGATTTTATAGAGATATTTTTAGGCGAAGGTTTCTATGGATAGTCCGGTTTTGATACAAGATACTATACATATTGGTACAAAATTAAAAACACGTCTATTAAACTCGAATATTGTGTTGAAGATGGGAAACCTTGAAGTGTCTAAAGAACATCTTGCTAATTTAATCAAAAATGTTTCCAAGGATAAAAAAATTTTGTGTTCAAGCTTCTTGGATAGTAAGTAGAGCATGGAGACTTTGGCTTTGAATTAACTCGATCTCGACATTAAATTTGATCATTATGTGCTAACTTAAAGATAAAGATATAATAACTATTATACAGTGTGTCCACTTAAGTTTGCAGCATATGGGAAACTTTTTTATTATCAATTTTACAAAAGAAAGTTATTCTTTATAAAAGTTTCTGCTTTTTGAAGAAATAATATTGAATTACCTAAACTTGAAATAGCATGTACAGAGTGGTCAGAAAATGGAAAAATATACATATTTTTTTGGTAAAAGTAGAAAAAAAATGACACATCATTATTTTTTAAAACCTTTGATATTTTTTTCAGATTAAGCAAGTCATATTACAGTAAAAAGATACCTTTCCTTATCACAAACAGACCTGCAAAATTTGAAAAAAAAATTTGAAAAGAGATTTTTGAGCTAAAAAAACGATTTATTCTAAAACTTTGACACCCTGTATCTCAGAAACTATGCATTTCCAGACACATGTTTATGGGAACTTTTTTTCTTAAAACACCCTGGATATTCTTCTATTTTTTGACCATCCTGTACATTTTATTTCAAGTTTAAGTAGTTTTTTATTATTTTTTCAAGAAGCAGAAACTTTTATAAAGAATAACCTTTTTTCGTAAAATTGATAATAAAAAAGTTTCCCATATGCTGCGAACTTAAGTGGACACACTGTACAGGGTGGGCCAATTTGGACACTTTCTTATGGAAACACCCTTCATTTTTAGAGATAGAAAAAAATGAACCCCCCACTCTGAGGCTCAAATTTCATGAAATTTTGATTGGTGCAAACCGCATTTTGATATCTTAAACCGTTTAGCCGCTAGAGGGCGATTCTCGATTTTGAGCAATAATGTGAAACCATCAAAACTTTTTTGTTTATGGAAATTATTGATTTCCGTAAAAACTTTCTTGAAGCACTTTTTCAAGCAGAATTCAGTGACGTTCTCAGTTTTTTTCTAGTTGGTCCCAACGTCGAGATATTGACCAAAGTCTGGTTTTTTTCAATAGGACAACCAATATATTAATAGCTCATTGGAAAGCTCTGCTTTTTTTGATTTCAATGATATAAAGTCCGATAGGTTTATGTCTATCAGTTTTCGAGAAAAAAAATTATTTCGGTTTTTTTCATAAGAAGCAATGTGTAAGAAAAGGACTTCATATCTGTAAGGAAACTGAGAAAGGTCTCTTTCCAACACATTGTTTCTTATGACAAAAACCGAAATATTTTTTTTCTCGAAAACTGTTAGAGATAAACCTATCGAACTTTATATCATTGAAATCGGAAAAAGCAGAGCTTTCTAATGAGCTATTAATATAAACGGTGTCCTGTTGAAAAAAACCAGACTTTGGTCAATATCTCGACCAACTAGAAAAAAACTGAGAATGTCACTGAATTCTGCTTGAAAAAGTGCTTCAAGAAAGTTTTTACGGAAATCAATAATTTCCATAAACAAAAAAGTTATGATGGTTTCACATGATTGCTCAAAATCGAGAATCGCCCTCTAGAGGCTAAACGGTTTAAGATATCAAAATGCGGTTTGCACCAATCAAAATTTCATGAAATTTGAGCCTCAGAGTGGGGGGGTTCATTTTTTTCTATCTCTAAAAATAAAGGGTGTTTCCATAAGAAAGTGTCCAAATTGGCCCACCCTGTACAAGCAAAAAATAAAAGCAATTCCATCAACTAGTGAACTAAAATAAAGCAAATTTTTGATTTATTGACAAATACTAACAAATAATGTTCACAACTTCAAAGTTATCTAGAGGATGTCACTCACAAGTACGTTATAGCGACCTTCAAAAGTCTTAATTTTAAAATATGTTCTTTCATAAAATGGAATTAAAAAAAAAAAACACCCTTTGATGCTTTTTTGCATTTTAGGTACCGATAAAATGAACTTTGACGCAATTGATAAGATGTCATCTGCTTGTGTTACTGATTTGCTATTTAAAAATGAATAAACAAAAGGTACTGGCCAGTTACTATTATTAACAAGGTACATCCTTGATTCATTCTTGAATAAATCAATAACGGTTAAAGAAAGGGTTTACTTAATTTGGTATGTAGTCTTTTTTCTACACTTCTGGAGAGCCTGGATTATTGAGCAAAAAGACCTGTCTCTTTCCAAAAACTGGATCACACTTCATGTTTATACTTGTGTTGAGTTGAACGCGCATGGATTAATGATCATGATTGAGCGCCATAGGAACACACCAAAACTAATTTGTCCATGGTTATATAGCAGCCAACCATGTGAAAAGTTTTTCAGGCAGACTCGATCAATGACCTCCGATCAATCAACAGTAGTTAACTTTGATCTGCTTGACCTTCTTCAAAGGTGACACCGAATCCAGACGATCAACTCTATTATCAGTGATTCAGGTAGGATCAATACTTAGTTATTAGGATAAAAATTTTAAAAAGAGCATACATGCAATGGGCGTATTATTTCTGTAGTTTGTTTTATGTATGGAACGAAAAACATATTTTCTAAATTTGGAAAATGCCTTAGTTTCTTTAGAGTTGCTCGAATTATTTGAATGGCTATATATTATTGTATTTTAATACTACCTGGAATATCATCAAACCAACCTCTGATTTAAAACAAAGAAGCGTTTTTAAAATTTGATATTTATATTTGTATCTATTTGTTTTAGGCGACAAGTTTGTTTTTCCACATGAAAAAAGTATAAGACTCGGAACACAACAAGTTGCAAACGATGAAGAAAATGTACCTTCCAGTCATGAATTATTCGCTGTCATAGAAGAAGCAAAAGAAAAAGTGCTTAATGACTGTCACAGCTTGGGCATGACACTTTCAGACACTATACAAACAACGCCCTTTGAACAGGTCAATATTCCAGAGATATCAAATATATATATACATCAAGTGAAAATAACATTGAGGAAAACCAAGAAAATTGTTGTTTATTAGTAGACAACTCAGAAACCAACTCGGTGAAAGATCCCAATCTTGAAGACCGCGATGATATTGAAAGAGAAAAGTCTATATTTGAAGAATTTGGCGACAGTGAAATAAATATTAAAGACTTTAGCGATAAAAAAACAGGCTACCGATCGATCCATGATTAATATTAGGGCTAATGGGAAGGATATGATTGTTAAAAAGTCTACGCTTTGTTGGTTTTTCTCTAACAAGTTGGGACGACTTTCCAGCGATCGACTTCTTCGAGTTCGAGGTATGGCTTCTACTTCAGGTGCCGTAAATAAAAGAAAGAAGAAAGGAAATGTTACAAAACGTAACAAAAGAAATAAAAATGAAACGAAGACCTCGACCGTTATAATTAGTGAATCCGAAACCTCGTCTGAAACCGAACCTGACAATGATTCTTATTCAGAAAAAAGTGAGTGTGAAAATGAGACGTTTGACGAAGATGATTCAGAAAATGGCACTTTCAAAGCAACCACAGAAAGCAAAATAGATCTTTTGTTAGAAAAATATTATGCTGTTTGTTATCCTGGATCGTGGTACATCGGCAGAATAACCAAAATTGACGGTAGCGGCTGTACAATCAAATTTCTCAAATCAGTACTGGTCACAGTGGCGGTTCCTCCATAAGAGCACATGTGCACGTGCACTCCCAAATTAATATCAAACAACTTTAAATTTAATTTTATCATTCTTCAAATTTTAACATTCTACCTGTAAAATATTAATTTAAAAAATTAGTGGCCAAATGCGCCAGCAAAACAAACGCAACCGGCAACGCTGGAATCAGAGCGTCCACCGCGTCGCTTGATCGCCCCGTTCACTGCACATTTCAATATTAAATCCAATTGGTGGAACTATGCCCCCCCGCACTCTTTGTTCCCCCGCGAAGGTCTAGCGACGTTCGATGTTTTAAGCTGGCTGGTGTGCACATGTAGTCAGTGCACTTTGGGATCGGAAGATGTTGTTTTATATTTATTTCGATTCGAGCGCGATTTAACTGAAAACTGTGTGTAGAATGGCGGGATTTCTGAACCCCGATAGCCTTAGCGTGCAATATTTGAAAACAATTAAATTTTCTTCGCTTTCTTTGGAGGAAAAAATCCAAATCAAATGTGTCGGCCGTCCAAAGCCAAATTTAATAATCACCAACATAACAAAATGCAAAAGTCGTGATTATAAACGAACTTTTAAAATGGAAACTTACGAAAAAAACTGACTGGTTGTGCGGTTGTGATGTTAGTAATAGTCTTTACTGTTTTCCCTGTTTGTTATTTGGAAGCGATGAAGCATCAGAATGGACAAAATCCGGCGTTAAAGATTTAGTACATTTATCCGAAAAAATTAAAAAACATCAAAACTCAAAATCACATCTTACTCTTATCTTTCAATACAAAACGTGTCTGTGAGAATTGTGAGATTGAAAACTATAATACATTTATGTATAAAAACAATTGTTAGACCAGGACGATGTACTCAGCGAGGTAAGTTACTTTGTTACTTAATTTCTAGTTTATTGATATAAGATCCTTCAATTTCCACGATTTGATAGACCGAAAAAAGTATTAAATTGAGCTTAGTTGGTTGTTTGGTAGGGTAGATATGAAATCCCTTAACAATATTTTTAATTATTGGTAGGTAAACACATCACATAACTCATACGATCACTTACAATAAATTATTTTTTTAAAGGCCTAAAATAAACACTTCTGGGCGTGGCACCCCGAATAATTTCGCGCCTCCGGCGGGCATCCCCCTTTCGGCATTTATTATGAATTACAAATTATGTGCACCCCCAATATGTTATACCACGAGCCGCCACTGGTACTGGATACATATGTTTGGCCGAAAGAAAATAATGAAGACATAGACATTGTAGATATTAAGTTTATTTTTTATGGTCCAATATCATTGATAGGTAATGAGCCTTTTTATTTAAGGAGACACCAAAAGTTAGAAATAGAAAAACGATATAAAGAAATCAAAAAAGTTTTAAAAGAGTATCTTTAAAATTACATTACGTTACACTTATGTACCTAGTTTAAACACATTTTGCTATCCTATTATTTTATGATGAGAACTATTTCCACTTGCGTTTTTCAATTTATTTTTTTTAACTCTGATAATAATTATTGCATAAAAAGAGCCGAGTTTCCAATTAGGCATATTTGAAATTGGACATACCCTTGATCATACCACTTAAAACAAACAAGTTTAATGTTACTTTTAAGGTTAGCTTGATTTGAAGTATTTCTAAGTACATTTTTTTCCAAGGTTTTTTCTTGGCATCAAACTATGAATGTTTTAAAACCAAGCATGAGTAATATTTTTTTATTTTTTTCTTGTTTTGTGTGTCCAGGAGATTTTTTTTGTGTTCCTATTTTATTTCATAGATAAATACCTATGTGTTATAGTATATTATGCAATGATCATGTAATGATAGCCATTAATACACGAGCATGTTGTAGGATACGAAACGAGCCGCAGGCGAGTTTCGTATATAACATGCGAGTGTATTAATGGCCATTACATGAGAGTTGCATACACTATTTTTTCTACTGCCATTGATAAAACTTGATGATATTTAGATATGTCAACATTATGCTTAACTTTGAATAGGGATTTTATAATTGAGTAATGCGTCCATACAGTTGAAGGTTTCATTTTTTCTTGTAACTCTTCAAAATATACTATCAAAACATTTTCTGAGAAGGACGAATGTGTTTTTGGTGTTTCCAATCCATAAATTGTCCATATAATTTTTCGTAAATTTTCTTGGACTTGTCCGGTAGTATATTATTACCTGCATTTGTCGCCCTTTCTGTAATTTCTAGAGGTGTTAGTGAAAATTCTTCGTTATCGCTCAATATTTCCATAATAATGCCTTCTCCCAAACTTAAGGTATTAACTTTTAATAACAATTTGAGGTATTTTTGTTTATTAAATTATTGTTTTTCGCTAAATTACCATGGAAAAGCTATAAACAGAGTGCTGTCAAAATTCAAAAAAAAAAAATTCAAATTTTTTAACTGGTGGCGCCATCTATTGACAATGTATAATAATGAAGAAAGTAAAAATTCTTCGTTATCATTCATGATTTCCATAATAATTATTCTTTGTCCCAAACTTAAGGTAACTTTTAAACAATTCGAAGTCTTTTTTATAGTTATCAAAATAATTGTTTTAGGCAAAATCACCGTATAAAATGTTTAATATCTTAACTAGTGCTGCCATCTATCTACATTGTATAATATTAAAAATGAGTATTATAATGAAAATCTGTATCGTAATGAAGTTCATTATGATACAGATTTTAATCGTTTAATAGCGTATTATGAAATGTCAGTAGAAAAAGATTTTTATTTCAGTGAAGAAATGAATAAATAAATTATAACAATTTATGTATTATGCTTAAACCATAATGTCTATCAACTTAGCGAGACAACTTCGAAAAATCGATTTTCCATTATGCCAAGAATTTGCCGCTTTTTTGCCGCTAATTAAATGTGGAATTAAAAAATTTGCCGCTCTTTTGGTTTTTTTCTTAATTACGTGTTTTGCTAACTTGACGTCAAGATAGCGAGACAACATCACTAAATATGTCAGCACTAAAAAACTAGGTACGTGAAAATTTGCCGTTTTTTTGCCGCTAATTAGTTGTGAAAATCAAAAATTTGCCGGTTATTTTTTTTTTTCATAAAAAATAAAGTTTGAAAAAAAATCATTTGTTTCGCTAGCTTGACGTCAAGTTAGCAAGACAATCGCCAAAAATGTCGGTAATGAAAAATTGAGTGAATGGGAATTTGCCGTTTTTTTGCCGGTAATTAGTTGTGAAAACCAAAAATTTGCCGCTTTTTTTTACAAAAAATCAAGTTGGAAAAAAAATCATGTGTTTCGCTAACTTGACGTCAAGTTAGCGAGACAATATCACTAAAAATGTCGGTAGTGATGAGTTGAGTGAATGGAAATTTGCCGTTTTTTTGCCGCTAATTAGATGTGAAAACTAAAAATTTGCCGCTACCTTTCTTTTCATAAGAAAATCGTGTTCGAAAATAAAATAGTGTTTTCCTAATTTAACGTGAAGTTATCGAGATCACTAAAAATGTCGGTAGTGATGAATTGAGTGAGTGGAAATTTGCCGCTAATTATCTCTTTTTCTACAAGAAAATATCGCGTTTGAAAAAAATATCATGTATTTCGCTAACTTGACATCAAGTTAGCAAAACAGTAAACAGTATCAATAAAAATGTCGGTAGAAAATTTCATTCATCTGTCAAAACTGGTATTCGAACCATAAACTTGGCTCTGTGTCATTTGCGCGACAGTCGTTTGCGCGAGGGAGAAAAGCGCCATACTAAAAGCGCGAGGGACAAAAGCGCGACGGAACAAAAACTCGACTACATAAAAGCGCGAGAAACAAAGGCGCGAGCGAGAAAAGCGCGAGAAACAAAAGCGCAAGGGACAAAAACGCGGGAGAAAAAGCGCGACGGAACAAAAACGCGACTGGAGTAAAGCACGATTGGACAACAACGCGAGGTATCTAACTATCTACGAGGACTGTAAGCAAAAGAGGGACACATCAAATTGTATCAATAAAATTCAGAAAAATGCAGCCTTACTCAAACTAACCCATACTAACCTGTTCCCCTAGTCTTCGTTAAATAGAATTTTATTTGAAAAACCAGGCGCGGTCAAGGGACCCTACGCTATAAATAAATTGACTGTTTTTTTGGATAAAATGCTAACTTATGAGTAGGTACTAGATCGCACTAGGCGGACGGGTTATTTTGGGTTAGTTTGAGCAAGTCTGTATTTGCTTTATTATTATTGGTTCAAATTGATGTCGCAATACAGACTTACTCAAACTAACCCAAAATAACCCGTCCACCTAGTACGATCTAGTCCTCGTAAGCATTTTATTTAAAAAAACAAAGTTAATTCACTGATTGATTGCTCAGGGTCTGTTGAGAGCGCAGTGCTTTTTAAATAAAATGCTAACTCACGAGGACGAGATTGCCCTAGACGGACGGGTTAGTTTGAGTAAGTCTACATAATTTTGATATTGGAACAATTTGATTTTTCCCTCTTTTGCTTAGAGGTCGTCGTTGTAAATGTCGCTGTTTTAATTTGTCACTGTTCTAAA